AAAAAAAAAAAAAAAGGTGTCTAACTATATGGATCACGTCTGTCTGGCTCTTTTAAAAATGTCAACAAATTTCTTGCAGGAGATGAAGGCCCTGCAGTGCGCGGCCGGCGGCAATGTGAGCGTGGAGATGAACGCGGCGCCCGGGGTGGACCTCACGGTGCTGCTCAACAACATGCGGGCCGAGTACGAGGACCTGGCCGAGCAGAACCGCCGGGACGCCGAGGCCTGGTTCAACGAGAAGGTGAGGCCACCCTAGGGTGCCCTTCCTTGGCCCTTGGGTGCCGATCCAGCATCACCCTAACACGGCTCCTCACTTTAGAGCGCCTCGCTGCAGCAGCAGATCTCTGACGATGCTGGCGCCACCACCTCGGCTCGGAATGAACTGACTGAGATGAAACGCACTCTACAAACCCTGGAGATTGAGCTTCAGTCCCTCTTAGCAATGGTAAGCACAAATTAAAATTTTTAAAAAAGATTTGCTTTAGAAGTTGAGAAAAAATTCAGACCGTTTTCTTGCACATGATAGTATTTTCGTTTTTATCCATTAATTACTATGCTTGAAATAAGACACAGTTGCATTTTGCACAGTAGAATCCTCTTTGCCTGAAAAGTATACCGAGGTGCTAATTATTATGAAACATTTGGAGAAATTAGCAAATACAATTATTTTGAGGTACTCGGAGAAGAAAATCGTTTTTACCCTGAATCTTCTCTCCCACGTTAAAAAGATCAGAAACCACTGTCCATGGAGTGTAGAAATATTAAATATTAAATATCGCACCCCTTCTAGCTTCTTCAGCTAGCATTCCTTTTGGCCACTTAATTAAGAGCACTTACAAGGTCCTTTTAAAGTGGCATAAACAGGAAGCAAAGTAGGGGCATGAAGGTTGCCTACAAAGCTGAACATGCTTGAGATAATAATAACCTTATTTATTAAGGGTTTACCCAGCACTTTCACCCACATGAGTCCACAATAACCCTGAGGCTTTGGCAGGGCAGACTTTATAATTCATGTCATTATTTCTGAAAGAAGAACCTGAGATTCAAAGAAGTTAAGCAGTTTTCCCAGAGTCTCACAGTTGGATACGAAGGAACCATATAACTTCTCTCCTAATTTTCTAACTCCCAAGTCTATACCTTTTTCCACATGGCTAACAAACCTCCAGATTTATTCACAAAAGAGGCTATGGATGGATGTAAAATTAGGACTTTATATAAAAATTCTTGCAGGTGAAAGGGTAAGACATTCTCATCTTCATTCCATGTAAAATTACTGCAAGTGTCACTCTGTGGGACAAACCCTATATAAACCCATGTGGATTCACAAGCCAGTGAATTAAAGGATTTAGAGCCGAAAAAGGCCATTCTTTTCTTTGGGTCATTCTACTCCTAAAAAGCATATGCCGTTCACTATGGGATTATTTTTTAATAGAAGAGCTACAGTTCTCAAGAGGCAAGGTTGTTACATGATTAGAAATGAGGTAGCAAAGTTTAGGGGGACTTTTATTCTGGGGGAAAGTGGCCAATTATGTCAGATTCTACAAGCACAGGCCATATTAGGGGGCGGGGATCTTTACACTGTGCCCTATGAGGAAACAGCTTCATCTTTGCTTACACTCCTGGGCATATGAGTAACATTCATCATCAAGTGTGCTATTCTCAAAGATAAAATAGTATGACATACAACAAAGGCAACAATTAGTATTGAACAAGTGGGGTCTTTGGGGTAAATATTGTTATTTGCATGACATAAGGATAACTCTCCTAAATATCTGTGTTTTGTCTTATTTTAAAACAATGCTGTGACATTTTCTACTAAACTGTCTACTGATCCACAGAAACACTCCCTGGAGTGCTCCCTGTCCGAGACCGAAGGCAACTACTGCGCACAGCTTGCCCAGATCCAGGCTCAGATCGGGGCCCTGGAGGAGCAGCTGCACCAGGTCAGAACCGAGACCGAGGGCCAGAAGCTGGAATACGAGCAGCTCCTGGACATCAAGGTCCACCTGGAAAAAGAAATCGAGACCTACTGCCGCCTGATAGATGGAGAGGATGGGTAAGTACTGCTTCCATTGAGAAAGCAATTCCTTTTAAGGTTGTTAAAGATTTTTTAAATCAAGTACAAAGTATCTATGACCTACATCATGTATACCTAAACCCCTTCTGCTGTTATTTAAGAATCCAATGCTCTCCCACCTTAAATCAATATTTTTCAGTTTCCTCGGCAAAGCACAGAGTGAAATAATTAATACAAGCTCTCTATATTTTTACAGCTCTTGTGTGAAATCAAAGGGCTACAAAGGATCAGGAAATCCAGTAAAAGGTAAACAAAAGAGGTTTTGAGCATTCAGTGTTTACATGTATATGTTCCAAATGACAGGTTAATTATTTCCTCTTTATGAATTTGATAAATTCTGACAATTCATATGTGTCATTTTAGATTCATCTAAAGGCACCGTGGTTAAAACAATTGTTGAAGAAATAGATCCTCGTGGCAAAGTTCTCTCATCCAGAGTTCACACCATGGAAGAGAAATCCACCAAAGTCAACAACGTGAAGAGTGAACAGAGGGTGCCTTCCTGAGCCCCAAAAGAATGGCCTTAAAGTAAAATATCAAATTGAAGCTACATCTTATTTTTCTGCTTTTCTTCTAGTGAATTAAGACAAACTATTTTTAGAATAGTAATCTTTCTTTGGTTTTCTCTATGGTGGTGTTTCAATAAAAGTTTTTCCTGTTGCAAGTCATTTTCACTGGTTCTGGTCAATCTTTGCATTGTAAACATAACCCCTAATTGGAACTGAATTTTGTTTTTAATTTCTTCTGTTTAATTCAATGGCTTTCACAAGTTAGGAGTAAATTTAACAGGTAAACTAGTTGGAGCCTTTTTCACATTTCTGTAAAATTTTAAATTCTATAAATACTTATTAAGCACACACTAAGTGCTGGTAATGAGAATGAAACAGTTAACAAAAATCTAATCCCTCAGTGCAACATGCTTATAGAAGTGGAAATAAGGAACTGCCAAATCAGAAATATCCTAAAAATGAAGAAAACGATGTGAGGTAGGAGGGGAAAGAGAGAGATGTGAAGACTAGATAAGGCAAGTGGTCAATTCCACAATGTTAGGCCACAAAACAAGTCTTAACAAATTTAAGAAGGCTGATACCATAACAAGTATCTTTTTTGACCACAATAGTATGAAACTAGAAATCAATAATAGGAGGAAAATTGGAAAATTCAGAAATACATAGAAATTTACCAGCACATTCCTGAGCAACTAACGGGTCAAAGAAATCAAAAGGGAAATAGAAAAATACATTGAGACAAATGAAAATGAAATTTCAATATACCAAAATGTATGGGATGCTGCAAAAGCAGTATTAAGTAGGAACTTTATCGTGATAACTGCCTACCTTTAGAAAGATGAACTTAGGAGATCCAAGCTGATGGCAGAGTAGGTAGAAGCTACACTCACCCCCTCCCAGGACCAAACTGGATGACAGCTAAAATATAGAACAGTCAACCTGAATAGCCTACAGAAGACTAGCTGAACAGAAGTCTTATAACTGAGAATTTTCAGAAGAAGCCACCTCTAGACTAGTAAGAAGGGTGGAGACATGAAAAGGGCTGGCCCCGGTGCCACGGGCGGCGGCTGAGACCCCAGGGGCCTATCTCAGCGGCAAAGGGGAGGCTGAGACCCCAGGGGGCCATCTCAGCGGCAAAGGTTCCCCCGAGGAGAGTGTGGCCTCGTCGGCTCCCCAGTTCACAGTACCAGAGCCAGGGAGAGGCGTCCACATAACATCTCACTGTGAAAATCATCGGGGATTCTGTCCGCCAGGGACATTACAAAGCCCATACATGACAATCCCACAGCCAACATCATACTTAATGGGCAAAAACTGAAAGCATTTCCCTTAAGATCGGGAGCAAGACAAGGATGTCCGTTTCCACCGCTCTGATTCAACACAGTACTGGAAGTCCTAGCCACAGCTGTCAGCAAGACAAAGGAATAAGAGGCACCCAATTGGAAAGGAGGAAGTAAAACTGTCACTATTTGCAGGTGACACGATGCTGTATGTAAACAATCCTAAAGATTCCGCCAAAAATGTACTGGAATTGATCAAAGAATTCAGTAAAGTAGGAGGGTACAAAATAAATATCCAGAAATCAGCTGCATTCTTATATACCAATAATGAATCATCAGAAAGGGAAACTAAGGTAACAATCCCATTTACAATTACATCCAAAAAAAAAATACCTAGGAATAAATTTAACCAAGGATATAAAAGACCTGTACTCAGAAAATTATAAAACACTGAAGAAAGAAACTGAAGATTTCTTTTTTATATGCACAAAAACAGGCCTATAGATCAATGGAACAGAAGAACAGAGAGCCCAGAAATAAACCCACACCTTTATGATCAATTAATATTTGACAAAGGAGGCAAGAGCATACAATGGGATAAAGACAGTCTCTTCAATAATGGTGTTGGGAAAACTGGACAAATAGATGCCAAAAAAAAAGAAACTAGACCACCTTCTTACATCATGCACAAGAATAAACTCAAAATGGATTAAAGGCTTAAATGTAAGACTTGAAACCATAAAAATCCTAGAAGAGAACATAGGCAGTAAAATCTCAGACATTTCTCATAGCAATATTTTTTTCTGATATCGTTCCTCAGGCAAGCGACACAAAAGAAAAAATAAACAAATGGAACCACATCAAACTAAAAAGGTTTTTCACAGCAAAGGAAACCATCAACAAAATGAAAAGACAACCCACTGAATGGGAGAACATATTCACCCATGATACATCCGATGAGGGGTTAATATCCAAAATGTATAAAGAACTTACACTACTCAACACCAAAAAAATGAACAACCCAATTAGAAAATGGGCAAAGGGTCTGAACAGACACTTCTCCAAAGAGGACAGACAGATGGCCAATAAACATGAGAAGATGCTCAATATCACTAATCATCAGAGAAATATCAATAAAAACCACAATGAGATATCACCTCACACCTGTGAGAATGGCTCCCATCAATAAATCAACAAACAGCAAGTGCTGGCAAGGGTGTGGAGCAGTGGGAACCTTCGGGGACCGCTGGTGGGCATGCAGACTGGTGTGGCCACTGTGGAAAGCAGTGTGGACTTTCGGCAAAAAATTTAAAACGCAACTGCCTTATGACCCACAATTCCACTTCTGGGAATATATCTGAAAAAAAAGACACAACACTAATTCAAAAGAAAATACGCACTCTTATGTTCTTATGGTGTTACAATAACCAGGATTTGGAAGCTGCCCAAGTGTCCATCAGTAGATTTGTGGATTAAAAAGCTGTGGCTCCCAATCGGTGTGCTTAACCACAACACAGCACCGTGCCGGGGAGAACTCGTGACTGCCCCTTCCCTCTAGCAAGGGCAGGGGTAGAAACAAACACACGAATGTTCTAGCTCCACTGAGTCCGAGGCTAAGCGAAGCCATCAGCGCCTCCTTCCCAGGCAACCTGGGGAGCCGTCCTGCGGGCGGGATTAGCACACCAGGGCCTGATTCTTGGGGGAAAATAACTAGGAGTTTAGGGACCCAACAAACGGCGTTCATGTTCAAGAAAAATACATTTCTAAACCCAGCTAACAAATGTAGAATATGAATTTTAAATAATGGCAAGGGATTTTGAAGCATATTTGAAGCTAAACACTAAATTTATCAGGGGGAAAATCAGTGTGTGATCATTGGAATACGAGGATGTAATGAAAAACTTCATCCCGAGATAAGCAGACATTAACGCTGCATAACCTAAAGTTTAATTCAAGTATGATATGCACATTATATAATGAATGTTCTAATACCTAATAGATTCTGAAAAAAATGATAATATGTGGCTGAATCCATATATCATGAATAAAATAACCTCTCAGGGAAGAAATACATGGATAGAAATGGCCCAGAGGGTTTGTGAAGTCTATCTCCCTCTTGCAGAAAGGGCTAAAGCTAAATTATTAGTTTAGAGGAAGTTTATGATTAAGAAAATTTGAGACAGTTGCCTTTATGAATAACAGATGACAGCCTTTCCAGGAGCTAAGCATCAGGACATTCCGGTCCTGCATGGACATAAAAATGTTTTGTGATCTATGTTGCCACTTAGCTTCAGAGTCAACTCATCTCCAAAATGGTTCTAATAATACATGTTTAACTTATTTCACAAAAGATTGCAAGTTAATTATTATTTATAAAATATCTAGAGACCAGCAGTTTATGTTAATAATACTTTGCAGTCTCATAATACCTCTTATCCAAGAAACTCAAGAGTTATAAACCATTATACTAACAAAATACTCTCTTTTTCTTGTTTTATTAATGGGAGATAGGAGCAAAAGATTAAAATTTTGATCAGGTCCCAACAAAATCAGTAACAAGTCTCTGAATATGAGCTGCAACTCTTAACTTATCACACGTTGTTCTAAACACGTGCCAGTGATCTGAGTTACAGTTTTACATTAATTATCTTAAAATACGTTGGTCAAAAAAACCCGTGCATTCTGGGCCACCCAATGTCCCATATCTTTCAGGGACAATAACTTTGGAGGGTTTTCAAGCTAGTCAATGTCCACGACCTTGAAAAAAATCTCATTCAGAAAAAATTACTGTTTCAAAACTATCCAACCCCATAATTAGTCAACCAATCAATTTGTACCATTATAAGTGATAGAGACCTGACCCTTCTGACATGGCCACTTTATTATAATAATTTAAGTAATTAACATTTACAAAATGTTTGTGCCCTTCAGACTGTTTTATAGTCATTCATTATTGGAACAGCTCAACATTCATTTGAGACTGTTCAACATTATTATTTTCATTTGCCCAATAGGGAAATAACGCCCAACCAGACAGGTTAACTTCCCATGTACATCAAGGCAAGAGAATGAAAAGCCTGCTTATCTTTGACAACTAATATTCTACTTAGAGCACCAAATTACTGGCCTTCTAGGAAATAACAAAAGCACCCCTCTCCATCTATTTAACTCCCCACTCATCAATATGAAAATTGATTACTCTCTTCTCAACATAATTTATAATGCCTTAAATACATAAATTTAAACTAAAAGACAGTAAACAATATTTTTGAGGTAGAGAAATGAATTATTTGGAGACTCAGAAGTTAGTTGAATGGACATTCTCCTCCTGGACTCAACCAAGAAATCTCAATACAAATAACTTTCTGTCAAGGCCACATATTCATTCTTTTTAGTTAAATTGATAAGCAAAGTACTACAGAACTTCTGTTATTTCAGTTTTCAATTTTTAAAAAATCAGTTAAAAAACTCCCACCACCAAAGGATCACTATATATTGAAAGTATCTGATTTTGATAAGAAAGAAAACACTCCATAAAGCATGAATAATAGACATACTCCATAAGCATTTGCAGGACAGAAGCAGTAGACATTTCTCACCTGACTTACTAATTTTTTGTTATATAGAGAGAAAAACTGGAATCTATTCCAGAGGTCAAAAAGCTACATTTTTACTCATATTTAAGTTTGACCTTTGAAACTATGATTCAGTATTACTCCACCTGGCACCTTTTTGTATACAGACATCCTTGGGCACTTTTCCACCTACAGACTGGACAGTATTGTCAATCACCCAGTTATGAAAAACAACAATTAGAGTGTGAGTAACATTTGATTATAAATCGGCATAATTAAAACTGAAATGACTTACTGAATCCTATAAAAGGCCAATGGGACTAACTACTACGGGTGGTGTACTTTGGCTTTGCTCCTCTCTGAGAAAGGGTCGCTCAGCTGTGCTGTCACCATGTCCTTTCGGCTTTCTAGTGGATCCAGGCGGGTCTGCTCTCGAGCTGGCTCTGGTCGGCTGCCTGGTGGAGGAACAGGCCTCGGGGCTGGGAGTGTGTGCAGTGGGTCAGCAGCAGGAAGCAACTTTCCTTGTAGTCTTGGGAGCGTTTCTTCTGGAGGCAGTTTCTATAGCGGTGGTGGAGGCCTGGGAAGTGGTGTCTGTGCTGGTTTTCTTGGAAATGAGCATGGTCTCCTCTCTGGGAATGAAAAGGTGACCATGCAGAACCTCAATGACCGCCTGGCGTCCTACCTGGACCATGTGGGAGCTCTGGAGCAAGCAAACGCAGACCTTGAGCAGAAAATCAAGGACTGGTATGAGAGATATGGGCCTGGTTCTTGCCGGGGACTTGATCAAGACTATAGTAGATATTCCTCAGTCATAGAAGATCTCAAAAGGCAGGTAAGAAAGATGGATATGCATCCTTTTACTATAGACTTGAGGTGTCCATAACCTAAAAAAGACAAAATAGCAAATGTAGAATTTGTTCACTCTATATTCCTAGTGCTTGGGGCCTGATAATGAAAATTTGTAGAATTAAGTGATGAAAGAGAAATAGTTTTAAAGTAAATATAGTCGCTTTGTTGATCTTATATTTAGCTCATCGTTTTTAATCAAGAGTAATAAAAGTATTCGTGATTATAAAACTTACACTTTGGCTCTTAAGTTCTAGACATTTATTATCAGGGGAAAATCCAGATGCCTTTAATGTAGAAAAAATGTACTAAAATAGATGTCTGATGGGTTAAGAAGATAAGAATTACTCTTGAATCTGAAGTTTTCCTTGACTTTTGGAACTTAACATTTTGCACAATCTACCCTATTTAGATTATTTCTGTGACCACCTGTAATGCCAGCATTGTTCTACAAAATGACAATGCCAGACTGACTGCTGATGACTTCAGGCTGAAGTAGGTAAAAATAAAGTCATTGATTATAATAAAGGTAAAAATACTGTATTTTGAATAAAGAACATATCTTTTGCATTTAAAACCAACATGATTTTATAAAATCAGACTAGATCACTGAATAAATTAAATGTGTCCTTATTTTTTAAAAGCCATCACAAACTATAAACAACATTTTTTATTCAACTCTGAAAAACAACTCCTCCAAAATAATATTCTTAGATAGTAGGGATTCCAAGGGGATTCATGACTTTGCCATCGTAAGCAGCTTCAGCAGTCTGTACAGACATTGTATCTGTCAGTACTTGAAATGTCTGAAGAAGGTACCCTTTGCACCTGCCTGCGATTATAGTTCTCAAGCTTTTTAATAACCTTTGCAGGTATGAAAGTGAGCTTGCTCTGCACCAGAACGTTGAGGCTGACATCAACGGTCTGCACAGAGTGATGGATGAGCTGACGCTTTGTACAACCGACCTGGAGATACAGTGGGAAACGCTCAGCGAGGAACTGGCCTACCTCAAAAAAAATCACGAGGAGGTAAGGATACTGCACGGTGACTTTGTACAGCACCAGATTTCCTCCCTCGAGTCCTCTGTTCATTTCACAGCAGGGCCATTCTCAAAATTCTACCTTGAGCATCAACACTGACCCCTTTCGCAGGAAATGGAGGTGCTGCAGTGCTCAGCAGGGGGGAATGTGAATGTGCAGATGAATGCAGCCCCAGGAGTGGACCTCACTGTTCTGCTGAACAACATGAGGGCCGAGTATGAGGACTTGGCTGAGCAGAACCGCAAAGAGGCAGAGGCCTGGTTTTGCGAGAAGGTACGTCTGTGGCAAATCACACGCCAAGGGCTTTCTTGTTCAATAGACCTCCGGGCTCGTCACTAACTCTTCTGACCGTTATGCTTCAGAGCGCTTCGCTGCAACAGCAGATTTTTGACGATGTAGGAGCAGCCTCAGTGGCCAGGAATGAGCTGATGGACCTGAAACGCAGTCTGCAAACCTTGGAAATAGAACTCCAGTCCCTCGTGGCCACGGTCTGTAGGAATCACCACTGATTTGAATATCTGTGTCTGCGTGTATAAGTAAATATATGTACTATATAACAAAATAGATAACAAAGTCTATATAACTGAAAATATAAATATATTAATATATTAAATATATGTATAAATATATTAAATTCCAAGAATTTTGTTCATAAACATTGCTCTGTCTCATCAACCTCAAAAATTTTTAAAAAGAAATTTTTTTCAATGAAAAGGAAAGAATTTTTTTTTTTTACTCTGCTAATGCTGATTTTGATTGAAAAGATTTAGACCCCATACAAATATTTCCTTCTACCTTGAGAATGTGTAAAATTGGAATGTGCTATTTACAAGCAAGCCTTGCTCTGCTCTTCTTTCAGAAACATTCCTACGAATGCTCCTTGGCAGAGACCGAAGGCTATTACTGCCTCCAGCTCCAGCAGATCCAGGATCAGATCGGGGCAATGGAAGAGCAGCTCCAACAGATCCGAACAGAAACAGAAGGCCAGAAGCTGGACAATGAACAGCTCCTAGACATCAAAATACTTTTAGAAAAAGAAATTGAAACTTATTGCACATTAATAAATGGAGAAGGAAGGTAAATATTAACTTGTGAAAAAATAATCTAGTAATTAAAAATTAATCTCACATCAACTAGGTTTTCTCAGTATACATGGATACTAATATTATATCCTGGAATGTCCTACCCTAAAGATTGTGCCCGTACATGGCCTCAGAAATTTATTATTGCAACTGAATGAAATGAAAACAGGCAGTGAAATCCAATTTCTAAGTATGTAAAATATTTGTATCTATAGTAATATATAGGACATTTAAATATTGAATGGTGAATGCTTCCTCTACTCCAATCCAGAGGGAAAGTTGCTTTCTGTGATTTGGCGTTGAAACACATTTCTCATAACAACACACTTTTATTTTTACTTGATTAGTTACCACACATTCACCCTGTATCGAGTGGGTCATTACATTTTCACTTGAAAGGTGAGCAATGAAGCTACAGAAAGACTTCAATGGAGAAGGTGCCAGTAGCTCGACAGCCAAGAGTAACGGCCTTAAACTTGAAAACCTGGGCTTGAATGACACCCTTGGGTGAATCTGAGCACGTTGCCTAAGCTCTTTAAACCCTATTTCTTTATTGGTAAAACTATGATAACACCAACATCATACTCCAAAATACTTTAAACAATAGTGCCTCACCGCATAGGTAAAGCACTCGTGACAGTGGTTGCACACAAAAGGAACTCGGTGACCAACAGCTGTTACTCAATGCTTGCCCACGGTCACACCATGACTGAGGAGCTCCTCACGCACCTCCCCAGGCTAGTGCCAGCCGTCTACAGCTATTCTCCTAAGGACCCAACAGTGATTGCTCCCTCCTTCGAGCAAAGTGCTCATTACGCCACTCACTTTTCACTCCTCTTCCAGCACCTTCCATGCCATGCTATAGGTAACTTTTTACTTGCATATGCCTCATTTTATTGTCAACAGTGTGAACGGCTTGTATCTTGGCTCCGCATTTTCTGCAGCACATAGTCTAGTGCCTTCTGTGCAGCGGGCACGTCAAACATGTTCGCCGGCAGGGGGATTGACTGAAAAGTCAGAATGAGAGCTCCGAGTCCCTGTGGCGCTAGATGAAGGAGAGAATATCTGATCACCAGGGAATTTTTCTCACAAACATTCGTTTAATCTCTTCTTTCACCATAGTGAAGTCATGAAAAATTTACTGATGTCTGTAAAACATAAGAATTTTGATCTTATTGACACTAGAAATCCAAACCTTTTATTCCCGATTCATAGTTATTTATGAGCTCCTTAACGAACAAATGCAATAACTGACTCTTCTCTTCGCAGAAAGAGCAAGTCCACGTGTTACAAATCGAAAGGATGTGAGCCCGTAAATTCCGAAAATCGAGTCAAAGGTATAGGAGGATTTTCACTTGTAACTCTTTTAAACTCCAGCAGTTGTGTTAAATCAGTCACTTACTTGTAAGTTAAATAAGATTATTTCTAAATTGAGTTCTAGTGGACAAAGGGCTAAGGGTAATTCATTAAGACAGTTCTGAATATTTGTATTTCACATTCCTATAGAACAAATGTGATCAAATTATGAAATTACTAACATGAGAAACCAGTCCCCCAGTATCTTTTTCACTTAGAGACTGTTGTTTTCAAAGTTTCAGTGCTTTGATAGTAGAGCTACTTTATTTTAAACCACAAAACTAGGGCAAGTTGATGTTTAAAAGAAGACATTAGTTGCTCCAGGCCTGTCCTTGCTTGACACTTATATGGTTTAATCCATGTTTCACTTATGCTTTCAAATACACATTGCTCTAAAAACAGTGGCAAATACAAAAAAGAAAGACAGCCCAGGCCTTGCTGAGCATAGAATTCAAACACAGTATTAATATCTTCATTTACTACAAATTGCAGACACCGTTTTTAAAATGCTTACCCATTGTAACTAAATATCTTTCAACCTGTTGAGAATGAGCACTAAATTTTCGTTTATTTTATTTTAGACTCAAAAGAAGAAACTGTTATTAAAACAGTGGTCGAGGAGCTAGATCAACTTGGCAATGTCCTTTCCCTGAGGGTCCACTCAGTTGAAGAAAAATCCTCTAAAATAAGCAATATTACAATGGAGCAAAGAGTGCCTTCTAAAACACCATAATGGGGGGAAAGGGGTTGTTATTTTTAAAAGCCTGCCTTTGCAAAATTCCATTGGCTAAATAACCCAAGGAAATCATTCACTTCTGTTCTTAAAAATAAAAAGCCTAGCCTGGCCGGGCGTGGCTCAGCGGAAATCGGGGTTCGATTCCCCGCCGGGCACATGCCCAGGTGGCGGGCTCCATCCCTGGTCGGGGGCGTGCAGAAGGCAGCCTGTCAATGACTCTCTCATCATTGATGTTTCTATCTCTATCTCTCCCTTTCCCTTTCTCTCTCTGAAACCAATAAAGATATATTTTTTAAAAATAAAAAGGCTAGACTTTGTTTTTCTTTTCTTCGTTTTCTCAAGTTCTTTGCATGTAATCCTTCCCAGGGGTGCGTGCTGTATGATTCCATCTATGTGATGTTCTGGAACAGACAAAATTAAAGACACAGTAAACTGATCAGCATTTTCCTGGAGCTGGGGCTATGGGAGAGGCTGACTACAAAGCGTTATGAGGGGACTTAGGGGTGGGGGTAACGAATTGTCCTGTATCTTGATTGTGGTGGGGGATACATGACTGTGTTTGCCAAAACTCATAGAATTGTATATTTAAGATTAATTTTACTGTACCTATATTAAACCTCAATAAATCCAACAAAAAAGGCATCTACCCTGAAGAAAAATGAGAGCATGTTCAGCATTATTAGTAATAGCAAAAAGTTGGAAACAATCTGAAAGTCCCCTAATAAGATAGTAGTTAAACCAATTACTTAATACTGGTTTGGCCCTGAGTAACTAACAAAATAACAAGACTTTACACAATAGAAGTTTATTTCTTTCACACACACAAATCCAGAGGCAGGCTATTCAGGGCTGGGATGGTAGCTTTGCACCAGAGAATCCTCAGGGACTCAGGTTCCTGTGGGCCTCCACTCTGCCATACCAGGATGTGGCCCTGGCTCATGGTCCAAGATGAAGCTCCGGCCATCCTATCTACCCATCACACCCATTTCAGCAGGGAGAAGACAGGACAGACCGGTGTGAGCTTCGTCTTAGATGAAGTCTCTAGAACACACCACATATACTTCTGCTTACATCACATTGGCTAGCTTAATCACATGACCACAGCTAACTGCAAAAAAATGTGGAGAAACCAGTCTTTTCTTTGGGCAGCTATTACCCAGGTGAAAATTGGGGACCAACCAGCAGTTTCCATCACATTAGGCACCTACCTATTCATGCTCTAAGGCACATAAGGTGAACAAAGCAGGTTACAGAACATCACATATAACACAGGTGTCTCACCTGGGCATGTGTGCTTACGTGCTATGTATGAACACAAATGCATGAAAAACATCTGGAAGGGTGCAAACCTCTGGAAGGGTAAACTATAGTTACCTGAGAAAGGAAGATAGAAGAGAGAGGAAGGTAAGAAAGGACGTTAGCATTTTACTCTGAGCTCTTAGATGCTGCTGGGTTTACATCAAGAACGTTTTCATGCAGAGAATAAAATGGTGGTTGCCATGCTCATATCAGCATTATCAACAATAGCCAAAGGTTCATGCAACCCACGTGTTCACCTACTGTTGAATGAATCAACAAAATACGGTATATGCATGCAATGGATCATTACTCAGCCTTTAAAAAAATCCTGACGCATGACACAACTTTGAAGACGTTATACTAAAGGAAATAAGCCAGCCACAAAAGGATAAATAATGCATTATTCTACTTATCTCAAGTGCCCAGAACAGTGGCTGGCACATAGTAGGTGTTTTATAAATATGTGTTGAATGAATGAATGAACCCGTATGTTCACAACAGTGTCACATAAAAGTTCACAGAAATTTTGTCCATAAGCCAATTTCCAGATTTTTCAAAATTTTCCATAACATTTAGTGTTTTCAATAAATATATGGTGTTCCACACTCAGCAAGTAGTTAATTTTCTGATGACTTTCACCTAAGCTAAACCATAATGAAGTAAAAACAGATGAAATATTTGCTTCTGGGATTGTTTCAAATTTTGCTGGGTCAGGAAATAAGTTAATGTCCTTCCAAACTCCCACAACTCATAATTGCAATTAGGGGTGTGTTCCTAATTACCAAAATGGATAAGAGAAGGTAGCTATCCCTACACATAAGTAAGTGTCAACAAAATATGACACACGTCAGCCAAAATGGAAGTTAGATCCCCTCGGATACAGGGGCAAGAGAGTATGGAGGCAGGACAGGTAATTGAAGGACCAGGTTGGGGAAATCATGATTCCAGTTCTGTTCTCTACTTAAGTGGGAAGAATTGTAACAATGAAATAAGAAAAAGCTTCAAAATCGTCAAAATCTGCCTGGGCATAAATAGCCCAAAACCATGACGCCAGATTTTTATGGTGAGGTGGACTGATGAGTTTTATCTTCTAAGGAGGGAAGAATGACTCACTCACAATTTTAAAATGTAATAAGGAACCTGAAATTGCTCCACCCAGACCCATTTCTCAGATAACCACCAACCTGAGGGCAACTGCCCTCCTACAGAAATGAGCCCAGCAAAGTCAGTTACTAATTAGGAAAAATCATCCAATTATGCTAACTTGCTGAGGCTGGCAAGCCATGTTTTATTCTGTGTAGGCAGAATATCATCCAGAACACACTTGAGAACTGTCTATAAAAGGCAAACAAAAACACTTGAGAGGAGAAGGCATCCCACCGTGGCATTCCCAGGAGCAGCTCTGCAGCGCGCTTGCCCGGATACCATGTCTCTCCGACTTCCCAGTGGCTCCAGGAGGGCCTGTCCCCTTCCCACCGCAGGATCTGTCAGGCTCTCGGGTGGGGGAGCCAGCTTTGGGGCTGGAAATGCTTGCAGCATGCCTGGAATTGGAAGTGGCTTCTCCTGTGCCTTCGGGGGCAGCGCATTGGGAGGAAACGCCAGCGGCAGCAATTCCTGTGCTGGCTTTACTGTGAATGAGGGGGGCCTCCTCTCTGGCAATGAGAAGGTGACCATGCAGAACCTCAACGACCGCCTGGCCTCCTACCTGGACAACGTGCGTGCTCTGGAGGAGGCCAACGCGGACCTAGAGCAGAAGATCAAGGGCTGGTACGAGAAATTTGGGCCTGGTTCTTGCCGTGGTCTTGATCACGACTACAGTAGATATTTCCCTATCATCGATGATCTCAAAGGTCAGGTAAGAAGTTACACTTCGCAATCATTTTTATGAGCTTCCATCTCTAAATGCCCTTTTTCTCTCCTCACTGAATACTAAAAACGTTTATCATCTCTACCTGTAATTTCTTAAAAGGAATTTCGATTTAGCTTTGGAAATAAGCACTAAGTAGATTCAGTTGGTTAACCTCATGATTTCAAATGTCACTGTCCAGTAACTATGTTAATTTTGATTATTTCCATTTCCTAATCTAAACAAACACCACTTTTTGGGTGTTTTTAATTGATCGTGATAAATTACTTTTAAAAAAATCGAACTCCCTGTTTCTAGATCATTGCTTCCACCACCAGCAATGCTAATGCTGTTCTGCAGATCGATAATGCCAGGCTGACAGCTGATGACTTCAGGCTCAAGTAAGTAGCCTCTCACAGTGAAAGAATACATGGAGATTAATGCGAAGCATTAAATTGAATTTATTTTTTGATCCCTCCATTAAATGTTACCAACTCGTATTGAAGCACTGTAAAACACCTGGATTTAAAATAAATGGAATAGTATTCCTTTTTAAAATTTTTGCCATAAAAACATAAAGTATGAACTGCTATAAAAGTAGTGTTTAATAACCCTACTTCTTTCTCTGTCAAAGAAATACCTCGACATAAAGAAAATGATAATTATCATACAATAAACTTTGAAAATGTCTCTTGTGGCCAAATCTGCCACCTCAAAATTCCGGACCTCTAGAATTTGATCATTGATTGGTGACTATTTCTCCAACCATGTGACAAATTGGAAAATCATTAACACTCTTTAAGGTACGAAAATGAGCTGGCTCTTCACCAGAGCGTAGAGAGTGACGTCAATGGGCTGCGCAGGGTCCTGGATGAAATAACCCTGTGCAGAACAGACCTGGAGATTCAGTACGAAACCCTGAGTGAGGAGATGACCTACCTCAAAAAGAACCATAAGGAGGTAAGGGAGGAATGTCTACATTTTGCCACCCCTCTGCAGACACTGTCTTCTTGACAGGAGGTCATGTACTTGACTTCTTAAACCAGAAATTGGTCCTAACGAACCGTCAGACAGACAGGAGGCCTGAGCTGTCTTTAGAAGTGGTGAAGTGTTTGTGCAGATTCACCCTTGCTCTCTCATTGTCTCCCATGGGAAGAAAAAAAAAGAATCATGTTTTCCAGACCAATCAGGGTTATAAGAGCAGTGTTTGGCTAGATAATTATAGCTAAGTTCAAATGGCATACTTAAAAGATGACATCTAATTAGATAAAAGATGTATACTTAAAGGACAGCCTAAGGAAACTAGATCTAAATTTCTATATAACAGTGGCAGGTTTAAAACACTTTAATATTTATTCCATATACACATTAAAAGTATATATATATACTTAATACATATTCTTAATAGGTAAGGCTTATAAAAATGATGAGACTGAAATTAAACTGTTATATCAAAATTTATACTTTTAAATAAATAGTATACATCCAAAATGGTCACCGTGGGAAGCTAGATTCTAAATCGGATCATACAGCCACTACTCCAGTCTCACCTTCGGGATTGCTATCAGAACCACTGTTTTCTGAGAATATCTTTATTCTTTGAAAAAGAATTTGATGTTTTTAAACCACTAAAAAACTTCTATAGTCAAGACAAATGCGTAAAGGAGAAGATCAAGCTAAAAATGCTGCTTGCTTAGTCATGAAGCTGTCTTATAAATCTAACTATTTGAAGAACGGCATTTGGCAAATTGAATGCAGTTGGTTTTTTTAATGACTCACAGACAAACCTCCATGCATTCTTTTATCGTTTTCTTTTTCTGCTTGAACTGGGGAAACTTTCCCTAAATCCTCAGAGTAAAAAAGCCACCCGGAGAGGGAGAAGGTATGGGGACCACCAGGGAGGAACGAATGCTAGAAT